GGGAGGTGGGGGTGGGGGGCCCTGCCCCATTAAAGGAGCTGGAGAGTCCGGGCTGCCTATCTGTTCTTCCATTTACACCCGCAGCACAGGGAGGCCCGAGACCGGCCGCCGCGCTGTTCCATCCTCTCGCGCTGTTACTGTCCCACGTCTGATGTCTGTTAAATCAGGGATGAGAGGGTGGGGGACTGGCCACTGTGAGGGTGATCGCCCTGGAGGAGGGGCGTCTAGTGCCCCCAGAACTGCTGGCTGCCCCGGACACCGCAGCTGCGCCCAGAGCCAGCCAAGCCACGGGGGCCCGGGACCCCATACAGGTCCATCCCCTGAAACAGCGACCCGTGCCCAGCATGCTCCCCGCCTTCCCTTCCCTCTCAGCTGCTGAAGCTGCCGGTATGATGCTGAGGGAAGGGGCCGGCCCTGGAGGAGGTGCCTGTGGATGTGTCCACGTGGGGTCATATCAACCAAATAGAAAACAGCCACTTGCCAGAATGATCTGGGAAAACAAGCAGCAATTTGGGCTTGGATGTGGCTGAAACGGCACCTTCCTAAGGAGTTGAGTTTCACCCCGGCCTCTCCTGCCGCCCATGGCCTTAGCGTGCTCTGGACAGAAGGTGACGTGGGACGCCCATCTCTCCTTCCCGACACCCTGACGTCGACCTGGGAGTAGGGGTCACACATGCAAGGGGGTCAGCTCTTGTCACCACCCGGCGTGGGGAGTATTTCCCACGCCTGCCACACACCACAGTCTGATACTTCACTGTCATGTTGCCATTTTAACTTTATAATTAATTCACTTATCCAAAAAAACATGAGGGGAACTTGTAGGTCTGTGTGGATAAGTAAACCAGAGCATCTGAAATATGGAGAAAACAAGCTACACCCAGCTGGGCGAAAGGAAGCTTTGTCGGGGCGCCTGTGACAGTGTCCACAACAGCAGATGCTCGAGTGGTTTGTGTGCGTCGCCAGAAACCCGGGTGAAAATACAGCCTTGCACGTGCTCGGCGCGGGGGTGCTTTGTATTTCACGTTTCCTTAACACCCACAAAAATCGGGGGCCTAACAAACAGAACTAGACTTCTCTCACCAGTTTGTGATTTATTACATCCTTTTCTTAATCAGCCAAATTAATTCTGGCTTTTTTTTTTGCTCAAAAATAAAATATGACCGTTAACCCATGCATTATCTTCTAACCGCAGTCCTTCTCAGGACGTCTGTAAAGCAAGCTGAGTTAGGGAGCTGCGCAGATGGCCAGTCTGCGGACGGGCCTGAGTCTCCCTGCTCCATCCTCACAGGCAGCGAACCTCAACATGCCCTCAGTGAGCTGCCCATCTCTCTGTTCCTGACGTGCTCGGGGGACAAGTAGGGGGTCTGGGGGGCTCTTTGCGTCTGGGGGCAGTGAGGGTGGTTGTGTTCTGAATTCTCGGAGGGAAACGCTTCGCTCCAGGTGCACAGTCACCAGGACACCCTCCTCTGCCCAGAGCAGGGCAGGAGGCTGTGCTGCCCGAGGTCTCAGGCTCCAGCCTGTGGGCCTGGGCGTGGTCCTGTCGGGCGCTTTCCAATAGAGGGCGCTGCCGCAGTGCGCTGGGCTGGGCTGGGCCCGGCTGGGCTGGGGAGGCCCGACTGCTGCTGCTGGGAGATGGGTCTGAAAATGGGGGCAGGGTAGACCTCTCCAGTCAGCCGCCTCTGTGACAGTCCCCAGAGCACACGTTGTCACGGGGCTGCTGGTGGACGGGCAGGCCCCTCCCTCTGCAGCGCCGTCAGACCCTGAGGACATGTCCCATGTCACCCACACCCTCTGCACCCAGACCGCCCCTGGGCCTGGGGAGCAGGGGTCCCCTGGGCGATGGGCGCCTCCCACTGTCACCTCCAGGCCTCCAGGCCTGCTCCAGGGGAGGGTCCAGGGCCGAGCAGCCACATGCCTGCGGCCAGCAAGGGCCCAGCCCCCGCGGGGCACAGCCACGTCTGGTCAGGGACCCGCAGCAAGGCTGTCCACGCTGACCCCACGCCTCTGCAGCCTGGCCCTGCTGTTTGGGCTGTGCCCTCGGTGTGGTACAAAACCACGTTCTGTTTCCAGTCTCCCAGGGCTTCCTCGGCCCTGTCAGAGCAAACTTGATAAATGCCCCGAGGTCCCTACTCAGAGCATGGCCGTGTACCGCTCCGGGACGGGCTCCGGAGGCCAACATGAAAGGCCCGCGCAGTCGCCCAAGGCCGCTGCCGCCGGCGGGGCGGCACGTTTATGAAAGTCAAGAGGAAAAGAGGCACAAAGACAAAACTATTTTCCCAACGAAAAGAAATGTCGAAACAAGAAAGCTGTGTTCTTTGGCCTCGGCCTCGGGCCCCCCACGGTCAGGTCCCCCCTGCCATCCAGCACGGGACTTTGACCGCTGACACCTGGAGCCCGGTGGTGGGACAGCAGCTTGGCCGGCGCGGGCTGTGTTCGCCCATTCCCAGAGACCCGGGTCGTGAAAGGCGCAGGGATAGTGTTTGTTTTCGCAGAACCCAGTGGTGATGAAGGAGCTGCCCCTGGCCGCGCGGGAAGGGTTGGCATGTTCTCCTCCCTCTCCTTTCACCCATGAGGGGCCAGGGTGTCCAGGACACCCAGCCCTGTGCACCGCGTCCGTGGCTGCGGACAGTGATGGAGCCTCGGCAGGCGTCCGACCTCTCTGTCCTGGGGAGGAGGGGCTGTGACTGCAGCAGCCAGGGTGCCTTGGTGGGGGCCGCACCAGCCAGGGGTCTGGAGGAAGTCGTGGTGGGAGTCGGGACGCCACGCAGGCCAGCGTGTTTCTGAGGAAGGGAGCGGGCTCACCTCGGAGGTGACTGAGCTGGGGTTTTTAACTCACGTCCACTTACCCAGCAGAACAGAAACAGCAGAACCGCAGGGGCAGCACGTTCCTTGGCTGGAGATGGAGGGTGTCCTCTCTCACGGGAATATCTCCTTGGGTGCACTTCTCACCCAGGCCCTTGGCTCTCCACCCCTGCAAGCCCTTTATTACCCCAAACCTCCTCTTCTGAGCAGCCAAGCATGTCCAGGGTAGGTAGTGTTATACTGAAACCATTTCTTTGTTTCTTAACCTGTCATGAACAGCAGTGATATCCCAGAGAAGTCTTCCTTTAAGGCTGCAGTGTCAGAATAAAAACCATCCGTGGAGTTTCTTAAAATGTTTTGAAAGTGGTGTTGCGATCTGGCGGGAGCCTGTAGGGTTTAGGAGCCGCTCGGGGGGCCCCGCCCGACAGGAAGCCCCTGGCAAAGCAGACAGGCGAGCACTGGCGGCCGAGTCCCCGTGTCCTCAGTCCCTGCAGGCTCACCGGCGCGGCCGGCACGGCCACAGCCGGAAGAGGCAGGTGTACAGCTGGATCGACGCGAGGACGGTTCCTGCCGCCTAAGAGCTTGCCGAAGACCTTAGCGTTGTTCCGGTTTCAAGCTGCATCGTAGGTGGACTCTGAAATGACAGGTAAATTGTCTCAATGTGGGACACACAGAAAAGAACGAGAGTTTGTTTTGTTTTACTCAGAAGACTCCCAGAAGACAAGTTGGGGAGCCCCCCCTTTCCCTGCCGCCCCCGGGCTGTGCCACGCCTGGGTCTCCACACACCTCGTTGGCCTGTGGGTCTTCTTGAGACTGTCCTGGTGGTGGGGTCACGGGGAGGGGCAGATGGAGGCCCGAGGTGAGGCTTGAACTGTGTTTGGCCTCCCTCAGCCTGTGTAGGATTTTTCTCTTGTTCGTGGGCATTTGATATAAAGTTTGTGTTTGGGAAGCTGAAGTTCACATCAATTTTACCTGCTGTCAGCTTGAAAGACATTGAGGTTCAGAGGGAACTCTGCAGTGCAGCCCCTGTCTGTCTGTCTGTCTGTCTGCAGGAGCAGAATGGTGGTTGAAAGCCAGACCCGGGGCCTGGAGAAACTGCAGGTACCGGCCCGTCTCTCAGTGACTGAGGGCGGCCTTCCAGAGCCCCCGGACCCCGTGGCTCCGGCTGCGGACAGATGGAGGGCATCTGGCCTCCATCACCAGGGCGGCCCTGATAGGATCTGCGCCGGGCGGGCAGGGTGGACAGGGACGAGGACGGCGCCTTGATGGATGAAAGGATGTCATTAACAAGCCTTTAAAGTTCCTCATTAATGTTTTTTCACTGCAAAAAGCCACAAGGAAAAACTCCACGTGGACAGCAGTTAAGATCGATCCCGAGAAGCGTGGTGCCGGTGCCACTGGTGCCTGCAGACACCCTCCTGCTTACCAGCTGGTTTGGAGCTGTCCCCCTGGGGCGGGGCAGGGGCGGGTGGTGACTGCTCTCAGACTGTCCGTGACACTGTGGCCAGGACACAGGGCTTCCCGAGTGGTCCCCGTGAGCTCTGGTGCAGGGGGACGGGGCGGAGTCTGCCCCTCCAGGGAGGCTGGCCCCAGGGAGCTCTCGGAGCAAGTGTGTGCGTGTCTCCTTGTCTGTGCCGTTCCTGGGGTGAGGGGGTGAGTGTGGCCAGGACGGAGCAGAGGCCGGAGGGCCTCACGTCTTTTCTTTCCTTATTCCTCAGCGGCTGGGCCGTCGCCCCGGCACACACGCCAGTGCGCACACACACCTGGGTCTGTCTTCAGTCTTCCCGTTACACATCGTTCCTGTTTGGTTCCCAAAACAAGCAGCATGTGTGTTTCCAGACTGTTTGTTGACTTAAATTAGGAAAAACCCAGCTGGAGAAAGTATCAGTGTCCAGCCGTTGAGCAACATGTGATACTGTGCAAAAAGTATTGCTTTTGCCTGTTTTCATTGCCATGACAACAAGGCGAAGTGGATGCACATGTGAGACTTTTGGCAGGAGACGTGGGAGCAGGTATGCGGCCGAGCAGGCAGGTTTGGCCCCCGGGCCCGCAGGGAAGCTGTACTGTGGGGAGGGGTCACCCCCAGCCGCCCCAAGGCTTCGGAGGGGCCTGTGGAGGGGAGGGGTCTGGCCCTAGGACAGAGGAGCAGAAACGAGACTCAGATTCAGCTGAACTGAGTCCAGGTTCTCCCAGCCCCCGTGAGCAGAGTACGAGCATGCGGCCCGTCCTCCCTGAGGCCAGTTCCCTGGTGGGGCTGCCAGCACCACAGACGCTCCAGGGGCCTGCCCCACTGAGTCCATGACTGGAACAGGGGACAAGGAGGAAAGGCCAGCCCTGACCATGTCTGGGGACTTCATCCAGGGCCGGGAGGGGTGAGGAAACCTGGCAAGGGCACCTGGGGGTGTTGACCATCCTCACTGCCCGCCGCCTCCGCCAGGCTAGGGGTCCCCCGGGGCAGGGGGCTGCGGCCCTGAGCCCAACTTCTTACTTTTGATTCAGTCTTTATGGGAAGTAAAACTTCCCCTTGTAGAGCCAAGTCCTGTGGACGCGTGGAGACCCTGCCGGACAGCAGACACTAGGTGCGCATCCGGTCCTGTTCCTAAGCAGGTGCCTCAGTGCCGGGGGGCAGGGGGCCCGGGGCTCTCTGGGCTCCAGTCCGGCCGCAGCGAGCTCCCCGGGACTGGCCTTTCCTCCGTGGAACGGGTGCTGTGAGCGCCCTCAGGTGCTTCCTGCGTTGATCTGGCTGCCTTTTCTGACTCCTGAGAAGGGGGGTGAGAAACACTCCACTCACTGGAGAGTGAGCAGCACCCCGTGTAAATGGGCAGAGCCCTCACCTTCGCTGTTGCCGCAGGGTTGGCCGGAAACCCGAACCCCGGGGGAGAGGTCCTTTCTGGACGTGTTATGGGTCCCCCTCAGCCGCCCCCCACCAGAAGTCTCCGTGTCCTCCTTGCTCACACCTGCCTAAGGGCTGACACTGGCCGCCAGCGAGTGTTGTGGGTAGGAGAGAGGCCTGGCCCTCCTCCTCGGTGTCCCCACCGCTCCCAGCGCCCCTGGGATCCTTCCTTCCTCTTGCTCACTCGGGTGCCTCCAGGCCCCCGGCCCGCGCATCACTGTGCTCAGCAGAACGTCTGCGAGATGCGGCTGGTGCCAGCCTGCCCGCAGCCCCCAGCCCCCAGCCCCCAGCCCACCCCAGGCACCGGTGGGCCTCAGGCCCAGGAGCAGGTGGCGGGTGGGGCAACTGTGGCCCCTCTGCCTGGCCACTGGCAAGACTTCGGGGCTTGGCTCTGCGCTCCAGCACAGCAGAGGATATGATGACGGAACTCAGGAGTCGCCACAGCTTGGTGGACTTCCCCTGCCAGGTTCCGGGCAAATGTCAGCTAAAGCTGCTGTGAGGGGCTGCTCCAGCTGTGTGTCCCTGAGCAGCCTGGGTGTGGGGTGCTGGCGTGAAGCGTTCGGCCACTCGTCCCACCGCCTCTGCAGACCCAGAAGGTCCTGGCCTGCCGCGCGGTCGGGGCTCCCGGGGGCCTCCTGGAGCCGGCCCCAGCTCAGGGCCTCCTCACAGGGTGTGTGTGGACACCGCCCAACAGGCAAGGGGGCCGGTGCGGCAGGTGTTTGAAGGCCCAGAGGCCAACAGCATCAGAAGAAATCGTGAGGGAAAGTCAAGACACTGGGGCCGAGGGGCTCGTGTGACGCACATGGAGGCGCTTCGTCCTCCCCCTCTGTGCGGCTCGTGCACACGGAGCTTCCGACGTGGAAGACGGCAGAGGCGGGGCTGTGCGGGCCTCGTCTGCTGCTCTCCTCGCAAGCAGAGGGGCCGTCCGAGCAGATGCTGAGGGCTTCCCAGGAGGGAGCACACCCTGGCGCCGGGGTCCCCAGGACCAAGAAGGCTGGCAGCAGCTTGAACATTAGGGAACATTCAGTTTTAAAAGTTGTAGTTTTGTTGGAATAAACTGTACATAACCAATGACAAAAACAACACAAAGTGATTTTAAATCTGCAGTGTCCCTGGAAAAGGCCAAGTGTTGCATGGCCGACAGTCACCCAGTTCCTTTGTGTCCTCTTTCCCCAAGCGGGGAAGAAAGTTAGAGCACCCCACACACACCTGCCTCCAGGACAGGGTTCCAGGACGTTCTCCACGTTCCGTGGGGCCTGGCTGGGCAGGTGGACGTGCACATCTGCCTTCCTGCAACCCACGGAGGGGGACAGCCACCTGACACCCCCAGGAGCCCTGCAGCGTGTGTGTCATGGCTGATTTCTAGGGCCGGCGTGTCCTCCAACTGGAGGCTCTGGGTGACACACATCTGGGCCTCCGCACGACTCCCCGAAGCCTGAAGAAAGCACGTTATCCAGCAGCACGGGCGTCGGGGCTGAGCACGCTGTGAGCGGGGAGGCCGGCAGCCCTGCATGCCTGCCCGAGGGGCCCCCGCTCCGTCTCCAGGCCAGAAGGCCGCGTGCCAAGCTGAGAGCACACATGTATTTAAAAGCTGCCTTTTCTTTGAGATGCAGAATGACACGTCTAAATATTACAACACCAAGAGGTATGTAGCTGTCGGTACTTTTCCACGCAAACATCTGACTTCTGTGCCAGGAAGCAGTGTGACAGGTACTCTGTAGTTTCAAGCAAATTGGTCTCAGATGTAAATGAACAGATTTTCACGAGGAGGGAGGGAAGCTTGTGTGAGGCCTGAGCCTGTCGGGGTGCTGCAGGGCCCTTATCACTGATGGCCACCGCCTCTTCTCCTTTCCTCCCACCGTCCCCTCATCCTCCCCCCACC